TGTGTGTGTGTGGGGGGGGGGGCTTGTCAGAAAGTGAGTGTTTGTGTGAAGTGTGAGTGAGTTGACATCACTCATGATGAAGTGTTGACTGCAAGACTTTCAGGCCGCGTGTACTCAAATCCCCAATGAGAATTTTCCACCGCAGCCGCAAATTAGGGAACTACAGAGAGTCTTTCACTGTAACCCACCAGAGTCCCTCGAACCAAAACACATAAACAAAGCTTGTCCTCGAGAGCCACCCACAACAGCCCGATGGGTGCTGTTCTTAAAACTGCATTGCAGAAAAAAGAAGCACTTTAAATAAAGTAAGTAAGTGACAGAGCCAGTGTCAATGAAAAGTACAAAGATCATATTCAAAATCTAGGTGTTTTCTGAGTCACCAAAAAAAGGAAAGTACAGAAACTTACAAGACAGTGAAAGGCTTCCATCCACACGTTTTTAGATCTAAGTCCTAAATCCATTACTAGTCTTTATTTATAGAGAAGCCTATTGTGAGAGCTGTGCTACAACGTGGCCTGCATGGGAAACCCCCTCTGCCTGCTGTCCACTCCCTCCCTGCTCGTCCTGCTTTGGCTGCTGGGTCAGACTGGCTCTCATGCTCCCATGCTCTTTGACTTATTGCAAATTTGAAGAGAAGTAGCATAACGACATATGATTCTCGATCTACTGTGCCACTTCAAGCTGTTTTGGTTTCAACCAAAGCAATGAGGAGAAAGAAAACAAGATGCAGAAATGTCAGAAAATGACTTACTCTCAATCCTAATGTCATATGAGTTAAGATCTACATTAAAGACAATAATTTAAATTCATCTAGTGTCATTTTCCAATCCTCAAATGAATTTCCCTTTAAGTGGTTGCATCCTCTCGCTTTAAACTTTTCGTTTTTGTTTCCATTTGTACGTCATCCTCTCAGTCTGCCTCTGATGATGACGAGCCCTCTGATCTCTCCCTGTCCACTCTGACACCAGCCAATTATTACTCACTATGCCCCACACATCAGAGAGAGACATCTGACTCTGTGGCACCATTCATCACAGAAATGAGACGTTTGTCTGCATGGGAACTAGATTACAGTTACAGAGACTGAGGGTGCCGAGGGGCACATAGCGCGGTCATTTTGTTTTTTTACAACAGTGGAATCAAAAACATTTTTCCCAAGTATTTTGACTGAAAAGGGTGATCAGAGGCCGACAAATGTGTTTTTCTACATTTTTTGGTCTCTGATATGACTAACCAAAAAAGCATAATTACATCAACTTCTATGGTTTTCAGCTTAGGATGAATCTTAATGAATTTGAGGATCCACTGACTTTCCCTTTACCGCCACCTTGAAGTAGACAATTTCGTTTTTGTAATGAAATGTGATCTAATGTTGAAGTATCAAGATGAATTGTTATTACAGTAAGCATTCTCATACTTCCTACAGTATAAGCACAACATCAGGTCAATGTGTTAATTTATGACCTAACTCAAATAATGTTATTCTAATCAGCCTCAGCTGTACTTTTCCTTTTGTGCTTGTAAACAAAAGGTAGCATTCTGAAATACTAAACTAATTTGGGAATGTCATAATATTTTTTTGGAGAATATCAGCATGTTAACATCATCATAGCATGGTTTAATGCCAGCATTAGAATAGCTTCTGGCAGCATACATCCTCCCAAAGCTGGATGGGAGTAGACTCTTGGACTCTTGGAAGAACTACAGATACAACTCCATTCAACTGCATTTAAATGATAAGTCATTGTTATGTGGGTTAACTGAACCTTTAAGGTTCAAGTAATATAATTGAAATATTTTTGCAACACTGCCTTGATTAAATAATATAGTTTTAACAAATCTAAACAATGAGCCCAGAATAAAGTTAGAAAATCTGTCTCTGTAATTTTGGAGACCAAACTCTTTAAGAACAGAATATAAAAATACAGCATCCTAAGTACTATATCCAGGGGGGCATACAAAGTGTATTGCCAACAAATACAGTGACACCTCACTGCAAGTACACCTTTTCTGTACATCCAATCTAACTCTGTGTCTTTATAGTCCACAACAAACTGAGGATGTTACTGAAAACTGAAGAGTAAGAAAAATAAACCATTAAAGGCAGTCTTACCGTTCCACTGTGGTCCTGCATGTCACAGCACACAGGTGTCTATCAGCTGCTCTGTGTATCTTGCAAGTTGGTGTCATGACCCGTGGATCTGAACGCTGCTGAAGACCATGTGTGTGATTGGAAGTGTTAGACACAGAATGAGCTTTGTGCCTCTGTTTGTTCCTGTAAATCCAGCATGTGTCGTTGCTCCGAATGCGTGTATATAGTGCTGTAGTTTATCTGTGTTTACAGTGGCAGATACATCTAGTCCTTTCCTCTGTGTGTTTATATTGGATTTTGTAGTGTGTGTGTGTGTGTGTGTGTGTGTGTGTGTGTGTGTGTGTGTGTGTGTGTGTGTGTGTGTGTGTGTGTAATCCTCAGTGTCAGCAGGAGAGCCTCTGTGTCACCAACACAATCAGCAGAGAGTCTTTATATCAGGACCAGAGTTTCCACCATTAACTGTCCTTAGGGTCCTGGGACAGGATTCACTGTTTATTTAAATGTAACACATTCTATCACGACCACAATTACTAAAATAAAAATGACAAACTGTATTATATACTTTTAGATTACATTTTCTTTTTTTTTAAATATCATAAATTAAACACTTTACTTTAAAGGTGGGGTAGGTCATTTTGGAGAAACCAGCTCGAGTGCGCTAGAATTTGAAAATACACAGCTGGAACAAATCTGCCACTTCCTTACAGAGCCCCCCCTCCAACATAAACGAACGAGCACATGACCAATGAGGGCACGAGATAAGTTTGTGCACAGATGGAAGGCTGACAGGCAGGTAGGCCATCCAGTTATTTTAGCCGGGCTGGCTAAAATGATTGGTTGTGCTTTTTACTTTTTTTACAGGCTTCCACTGATGACATTTTTTTATGGATTTTTTGTCAAAGCACTTAAGATATTCATTGCTATCGGGATTAACATCCCGATAGCAATGAATATCTTAAGTGCTTTGACAAAAAATCCATAAAAAAATGTCATCAGTGGAAGCCTGTAAAAAAAGTAAAAAGCACAACCAATCANACTATTACTCGGTCATCTATACTAGCTCTCTCATTTCTTAGAGCATGTATAAGAACTAATTGACGTGGAAATAACTATGTGAGCCGCCAGTCATATCATTAGTCCAGTCTACTTATTCATTACTACAAAAAAACATCCATACAATAAGCAACAGTAACATTCTGGAGCTCACAGATGTAATGCTTCACATCCATCAGCAAGCCTTTCATCTTTTGATATGCACTTATACAGGTGGAGAGAACGTGCTGAAGAGGATGACCATCATCGGGGTGATCCTGTCCTTCAGATCCATGGCACAGGACTGTCTGAAAGAAGTAATAACAACCTTTCATGATGATATAAAAACTCTAAGATGGCTAAAGTAGTGATGAAAATGTTTTTGATGGTGTAGGTGCAAATATAGAATATGATACATTTTGATAATGGAAAACATGCGGTTAATTCTTGATCTTGATTTTCTTTGTTGACTGTTTGTAACACCTGGAAATGGCTTTACAGTCTTTCCTTCATCAGGTATGAAGACATATATTTTCTTTATCTCAGAAATATATTTTGTCATGTAATCCTATGAACTAGGTCCTGAATAAGCACTGTCCGTACCTGATCGGGCCCATCGAGTGCCTGAGAGACTTCATCTCTCCTGAAACGGACATCAAGGTGAAACACAGCTTTTAACTAGAATATCAAAAAAAGCATCAATATTTTGAGATCCCACGGAGGACTGGAAGTGCAATATTCAAGCTTTCACTGTGCATGAATCATCCCATCACATTTATCAACAGCATGTTAACAGTTTATTTTCACAGGGCTGACATATTGTGGGAACATTTAGGTTGAAGACATATTGTATTGACATTCATCCTAATGTATTTCGTTAGAGACTTTGGGGAATGTACTGATTGCCCCAGAGGTTAAGAATCTAGAATATACTGAAGCACAATAGATAGTGTGCAACATTAGATCTCAGAGTTGCATAGGAATATTTGGTTCTGTACTCTAGTACCAATCAAATTAAATTCCTTATCTCCCTTTGGAGCAATCCTTGTGACCGTGACTCATGAACTCCCCCTCCCCTACGTACGTCTGGCCTCTGATTGAGGCATGACAGCCGGGGCCAGGATAACCCCAAAGACGTCAGCAGCCCCCTCATGCCTCCGTGAGAGAGACCCTGATGGCCGCTGCAGCGCTTCAATTTAAACCACATCAGTGGAAACATTGTGCCCAGACAGGCCAACCATTCATGCAACCAGAAATAGGGCGAGATCAAAACCTGTGTCAGGAAAAAAGCACCCAATGCTGACTTAGTGTCATTACATATACAGTTTGTCACTTTTGTGGCTGCTACATTAAATACACAACGCACATCTTAGCGACCTTGTTTTATCAGCAATAAAAAGCAGCAAAATGATGACAATTGAAATGATGCATTACTTTTGAATTGCACTTCATGTAAGAAGCTTCTGCACTTGATTTAATCCTTTGTGATCTTACAGGTGACTCTGAGTGTTTTCGAGCTGGCTTCTGCGGCAGGCTTTCCATGTGATATTGATCCTGCCCTGGTCGCAGCCATCAGAAATATGCAGACAGGTAACACTCAGACTATTAGTGCCACTTCTGTAGACAGCTTGATCTAATGGCTTAGTCACCGGGAAGAGAGTGTTCTTTCATATTTGAATGTCTTCTTGGAAAAACCCTGCAGATAACACGTCAGTTGATGAGGAGTACAAGCTGTCCTGTCTGCTGCTGGTGTATGTCGCCGTGTCCCTGCCTACCCTGGCCCTGGACCCCAACTCTTTCTACAGCCGAGAGCATGGAGGTGCATATCAATTCATTGACTTTCAGCTGCTACACACTGCTTTTGAGGCCTCAACACACTACTAATCGCTTCTTCTTCCAGCTATTACTCACCAGCTGCTGATAGGGTATAAAGAAGGTACTCCACCCTTAAACATTAGGCTTATAAGCATCTCTGTGCATCATACTTTCCAGTCCGTCTGACGTGGTCCCAAGTATGTTGGTTAACGAGAAACACGTTTCTGTTGAGAGACTTTTGTTTACAGATAAGTTTGGCTGACGTGCATTGATACAGTTAGTCTTGGCATGTGGCCCTGGTGACCCTAACAGCTTGGCTCCAAGCCTGGACTGCAACATTAAGAGCAGCAAATAGCCAAGATTTCTATCAAAGCACAGGGTGGCGTTTGTCTCAGATCATTTTCTTTGTCTCTATTTTCCATTGGCGTGTCGGAAATAGATCTACCCTTTCAGCCTGAGGAAGTACGCTCAGTGCACTTCCTCTTACGTTTTACGGATCAGTCCATTTCTCTAATTGTCTGGTCACGAAAACATCCTCTGCGTGGCTAAAGTTACAGGACCTGCCTTTTCTGTTCTTTTTATTTTTCAGTGTTGAATTTTGTGATTTTATTTTCTCAGGTCACAACAACAACATCCACTGTTTAGCTACAGCTATCAACCAGCTGGCTGCTGCCATGTTCACCGTCCAGAACAAGAACATAGAGCAGCACCTCAAAGAGTTTCTCCTGGTGAGCAGCAAACACTGTATTATGTTTCCTACCTTTTGCATTTTTAAAACGTCAATTGTTATGTTCTGGCTTCAAAAAATCAGTTTACTGTGGTTCATTGGTGTAAACAATTGACCTAAGGGGTTCAATTAGGCTTATTTGAATAAATAAAAAAATAAAGAAATACATAAATAATACTTTTCCATGTGACATATTGGATCGTTTTCCCACTTGAGGCAAGTAGCACCAGAAAATTGTTTTAAATTGTGTCTGGGGCACATTAGCTTTCTCAGCACACTGCCAACCCTTGCTCCAGTTGAGTCCAACAGAGTAAAAACATTTCAATCCTTTGATCTTTTTTAACTGTGTGTTATTCCACAGCTGGCCTCCTCCACTCTGCTTCAGTTGGGACAAAATGTGGAAAGAATGGAGAGCAAAAACCGAGAGTCCGTCTACCTGCTCCTACATTTGGTAGGTTTGCCAGCACAATACTAATTATGTTTTTTAAATGTACAATAAGACGTAAGTGGATTTATGAATTTACTAATGGGAAAACCTAAGACCCTTCATTAAGAGGTTTTCTCTTTATAATAATCCATCCCCCCTTCTATAATGGCTTTTCCCTTATCTTTAAAGCATTAATAAATGAATAATTAACAAATAAGTCGTTAAGGACCACTCATAAACTCTATGGAGTTAATATGTTCAACTTAAAGTGGAAGTAAAATTGCAAATTATTTGAGGGCTTTTTCCATATCCAGAATAGAAAGACCTCCGCTTACACTAAAGTAGAGAAAGTGCAAAACAAATTAAACAACGACCAAATCCTCATCAAATATTAAAGGATTTTTGTGTAATGCAATGTCATCACCATGCACATTTTGTTTATATTATTAAAATAAATGTTTTTGTATTGTCAACAAATCACAATAAAATACCAAAACTGGCAATGAATGGTTCTCGCCAACAAGTATTGTCTGTTCAATTTTCTTCCCCTTAAAAATACATAATTTAGCCTCATTGTTGCACAAGGTGACATGTTCCTTCAAAAGATAAAATGGGTGCTGTAGTTTGAGACAATCACACTTGCAATGTCCTCCTGCCTTAAATAAGGACACCAAATGCAAACTTATCGACCGCTGAAAATAATCCCCATCAAAAACACTCTTTTCTCCTATGTGTGGGACATGTTCTCAATGCGCCTATCAGTATTAGTACAATTACTTACAAAACGGTATATTAGTGACCTAAAGGTCGATGTCTTCAGTAGAAGTGAATGGGGTTGCTGCAGATATATTTTTTTTTATTGGGTTTTGTTTTAACCCTTTAAACTCTGCCCTTCTCAGATTGTGGAGGAGTCTCCGTTCTTGAGCCAGGACATGCTGGAGAGCTGCTTCCCGTATGTTCTTCTCAGAAACGCCTACAGAGAAGTGTACCGGAGCTTCATCGTCACTCTGGGCTGAGGATTTCTTTGATGTATTCTATATTTTTCCAAACTATATTTGAATATGCTTGCATATTTTGTTTTTATTGCCCTGAGTCTCTTTTTCATACACTTCTATGCATTTCCACCAAGTTAACCATAGCTTCCTGTGGTTTTGTGTTGTTTTACAAACTCTAGAAATACTTTTATGGTGCTTATCTAATCTAATCTTATGTTGTGTTGCTGTTTTAATAGGGTTACTTTTTATATTTTATTTTATTTCCTTTTTATCACCACTGTAAAGTGTCTTTGAGCACCCGAAAAAGCGCTGAGAAATCAAATGTATTATTATTATTATTATCTGCCAGTATTATACTATACATTTGCTGTAGTATTACTAAAATTAGCTTGAATAATTTAAATGCAAATCCGACATGTGTTGATATATCACTCTTTCATTTTACACACCAGTGCCATGACATAAAGTTCAATAAAGATTTCTCATTATTTTAATAAGTTGCTGAAAAGCATGTGTTCTTACACATTTCTGTTCTATATATCGAAACAAGTTTTCCTCGTCTTTGTCCAGTCCATCCTCCCCCCTCCCAGCCTTTATCCTTGGATGAAAGTCATTTTTTCATGCTCAAATGTAATGATGCACTCAAGTTTTGCAAAACGAAAGCCCTTTTGCTAATTATAGATTATCCTATGTTTATTTTATTTGCAATGAGTACTGCACCTCTTCATGCTTTTCCTTCTGTCTCCTCCCTTCTCACCCTGCAGTGTTCTGCAGCTATTGGTTGCCACACTGGAGATCTGGATGTTCACATCCGTTGCTGTGCTGCATGCATGTGTGTGTGTGTGTGTGTGTGTGTGTGTGTGTGTGTGTGTGTGTGTGTGTGTGTGTGTGTGTGTGTGTGTGTGTGTGTGTGTGTGTGTGTGTGTGTGTGTGTGTGTGTGTGTGTGTGTGTGTGTCGTGTGTGTGTGTGTAGTGTGTCGTGTACGTGTGTCGTGTCGTGTGTCGTGTGTGTCGTGTCGTGTCGTGTCGTGTCGTTGTACGTGTACGTATACGGTGTACGTGTACGTACGTACGGTACGTACGTACGTACGTACGTACGTACGTACGTAGTACGTACGTACGTAGTATACGTAGTAGTAGTAGTAGTAGTGTGTGTGTGTGTGTGTGTGTGTGTGTGTGTGTGTGTGTGTGTGTGTGTGTGTGTGTGTGTGTGTGTGTGTGTGTGTGTGTGTGTGTGTGTGTGTGTGTGTGTGTGTGTGTGTGTGTGTGTGTGTGTGTGTGTGTGTGTGTGTTGTATTTAGGGCATCAGGGTCTAAGGCCGAGGGACTCAGACCTCTCACAAGAGGTTTGATTCCCACCACAGGCAACACTTACATGAATACGCAGTTGGAAATTCATGAATAAATAAATGACAGATACTTAAAACAGCACATTGCTAAATCACATACTTTATGCATAAACAGTATGTTTATAAAACAGCATGTTTATAAAAGGCTAAAGTCCCAGGGAAAAAACAAACAGGCCTAATACATATTATCCAGGTAAAAATGGATAATGGTCAAAACTAAACAAATGATATTAAGTAATTAGTAGTAAACTGCTAAAACTAAACAAATGATATCCAGTTTGTGGAGTTTTTTTAAATGTATAATGACTGTTGTGTACCAAGGGAATAGCCACATATCAGTTGGGAGGTTTGCTCATTTTTATTTCATCATTAAATTCATCTCCTGTAGACACCCATACGTGGAGGCAAACACTTAAAATATCCTTAAATATGCTTATAACAACAGTGTGAAGTGTTATAAACTGTAATTGTGTGTATGCTGCTTAGTTAATAGCTGCACTTAAAGGTGGGGTAGGTAAGTTTGAGAAACCGGCTCGAGATACACTTTTTGTTATATTACATGTAATGCTCTTAACATCATCTCTGAAGAACCAGCACCTTACCGTGGTAGAGAGGTTTGTGTGCCCTGATGAACCTTGGGGCTGTTTTGTCTGGAACCTTGTGTTCCTGGTAGGGTCTCCCATGGCAAATTGGTCTCAGGTAAGGGGCCAGACTAAGATTGGTTCACAAGACCTCATGAAAGACGACACACGAAGTGAGGATACCCGGCCCGGAGGAAGCCAGGCCCCAGAAGGAGGACTCGTCGGCGAGCGTCTGGTGGCCGGGCTTGCCACGGAGCCCGGCCGGGCACAGCCCGAAAAGGCGACGTGGGCAACACCTCCGCTTCTCCGTCCCGCGGGCCCACCACCTACGGGAAACAGCGATGGGGTCGGGTGCGCTGCCAGAAGGGTGGCAGTGAAGGCAGAGGGTCTCGACGGACCAGACCCGGGCGACAGAAGCTGGCTTTGGGGACGTGGAACGTCACCTCTCTGGGGGGGAAGGAGTCGGAGCTTGTGCGGGAGGTGGAGCGTTACCAGTTGGATCTGGTTGGGCTCACCTCTACGCACAGCGTCGGCTCTGGAACCTTACTTCTGGATAGGGGTTGGACTCTATTCTTCTCCGGAGTTGCTCAAGGTGTGAGGCGCCGGGCGGGTGTGGGGATACTCACAAGTCCCCGGTTGGGTGCTTCGTTGTTGGAGTCTACCCCAGTGGACGAGAGGGTTGCCTCCCTACGCCTGCGGGTTATGGGGGGGAAAAATCTGACTGTTGTGTGTGCTTATGCACCCAACAGCAGTTCAGAGGTATACGGCCTTCTTCCACGAGGACCATATGGAGAAAACCCCTCGATTCTGTAGAACTTACCTCTTGTAGGAATTACAACAGTATCGCTTGTATCACAGCAACACTTAACGCGTTAGGTATGACATATCCCGTGATACTCATCAGGTAGCTATCGTTATAGTGATAAGACATAAAGTGCTACCCTAACCTGACCACCCGGCAAGTCTAGATCGCCACGCGCAGGATGGGTTTAAGTGGCACGGGGGAGACCGTTCACAAGCACGCGTTAGTAACGGGTGTACACGAACTATATAGACAGGAGTCGCTCTAATTTTCCGCGTGGTCAAGTCCTCGAGAGGTAGTGTTCCTGGATAGCAAGGTCCCAGCGAACGTTCATTC